CCCTGAGTCTCTCTGGGCCCCAGGGTCCTTACCTGTCAAATGGGCAAGGGGAGTAGACGATATGCCCCTCGGTCCCGGGGAGTCAACGTCGCTGGCAGGAAATCCAGGTGAGCGGGCAGATGGACTGGAGCTACAGGCCCGCAGAGCCCCCACAGAGCCCTGCTTCTCCCCAACCAGAAGCGAGAGGGAGCCATGGCAGCCGTGCCAAGTGGCATCCAGGGCCTAGCCTGGTGCTGAGTGATTGCCCTCTCCAAGTATAGGACCCCTCAGCTGCCAACTGGCTGACTAAAGCCATGGCCCCCAGGAGCCTGTGAAATGCAGATTCCTGGGCCACGACAGACTCCAGGTGTGGAATTGCTGGAGATGGGGCCTGGGTACCAGCAGTTATAGAAAGGAGCCGGGTGGGTATGGAGCGTGGTAGTCTCTGATCTAACCTAACCCCTCCTGCAGAAGGTGGTGTGCAAGGGTGGTTAGAGCACAGGTTCTGGGACAGGGACAGAAATGGTCAGGGCAGGAATCCACCCTAGTGAAGATTAGGGAATGAAAGCCAGACACCAGGCCTCCAGGGAGCAGGGCTTTATTTGAATTCCCTAGGACAGGGCTGGGGGAGGTAGTCAGGGAGGGCCCGTGGTCAAGGACACACCCAAGTTCACATCCTGGGGACCCTAGCCCCCTGCCCCTAACCCCAGGGCCCAGCTGGACTTGGAAGTTGGCACAGGTAGCTCTGGGAGAAGGTCGGTGTCTACTCCACCCCCTTCATGAATTCCAGGAACTCTGTGAGAGAGGGGCAGGCATAGGTCAGAGGTCGGGGCTGGGCAGGGCATGGGCACTGGGGATTCAGCACACCCTTACTCACCGTCATAGTCAATGCGGCCATCGTTGTTCTTGTCACCATCCTTCATGAGCTCCTCAATGTCGTCCTCTGTGATGGTCTCACCCGTAGCCTGAAGCATGATCTTCAGCTCCTCCAGGTCGATGTAGCCGTCAGTGTTTCTGCCAGTTGGGTGAGGGGGGCCTCAGAGCCCATGGTAGGGGCAGGGGGAGGGGAAGAAGCAGCCCTGCTCAAGACCCCAGGAAGTAAGGAAGAGCCACTGGGAGATGGGGCATCCCATCCCGCATTGCACAGAATGGGAGACTGAGGCCTCGAGGTCACAAGACTGTCCCCCTCTGCCCAGTTCCACTAGGGTCAGGGGCAGAGGTCAAGGGTCACACACTCACTTGTCAAACATGCGGAAGAGATCAGAAAGCTCCTCCTCAGACTTTCCTTTGCTGTCATCCTTCATGCACCGAACCATCATGACCAAGAACTCATCAAAGTCCACTGTGCCGCTGCCTGGGGGGGTGGGCAGCACAGCCGTTGGAGAGCAACGGTCAGAATGGCTGGCACTGCCCTTGACACTAGACCCCACTGTTCTCACTGCATCCTCATAGCAACTCTGTGAGACAAGTGTGGTCAGTGTGCCCATTTTATAGATGATATGGCCAAGGCTCAGAGAGGCTAAACAGCTCCTTTAAGGGCACAGAGTAATAAGTGGCAGAGCCAGGATGCAGGTCCCCAGAGAGTTGGGGGCACTATGAGTCCGGGGCAGGGCAGGAGGGCAAAGGGGCTCACCATCCTCATCCACCTCGTCAATCATCTCCTGTAACTCCTCAGGTGTGGGGTTCTGCCCCAGCATCCTCATCACTTTGCCCAGCTCCTTGGTGCTGATGCAGCCATCCTCAGCGCCCAGCACGAAGATGTCAAAGGCTGCCTTGAACTCTGTGTCCAATAGGAGGGGAGGGGAAACAGAGCAGCCAGGGCTCAGCAGCCAAGAACCTGGAAGGCCAGACCCCTAGGGCCACCTGCTAACCTGCCCACTTCCCTCTGAGACCTCTGAGGTCACAGGGAGAGGGACCCCAGCCTCTGACCTCCAGCCTGGGGTCCTCATGCTCCCCCAGCCCGGCTCTGCTGTTCCCCCACATGCGTGTTGGGGTACTCACCATTTTTCTGCTCTTCTGTCAGCTGCTCTACCTAGAGAGGAAAAGAGGTCTCAGGACCCAGGCTCAGGCCTTAACTGCTGTCGAGGAAACCAACCCATTCCACAGGTGGGAAGACTGAAACCCGGAAGAAGCAGGCCATTCCCAGGTCACAGAGCAGAGGCCTCAGTTCTCCCTCCTAGCCCCCAGAATCCTGAGGTGACCCAGCTGGCCTCACTGAGACTGGGCTCAGGGCCAGGGTGACAGGTGGGCACCCCCTCCAGGACTAAGGTGACCCTGAGTAACAATAGTCAGTGACCACTCAACGCCCTTTCGCCCCCACCCCCCACCGAAACCCAAGCTGGGTGGCCTGAGAGACAGCTGTCCCTCAGGTTGGGACAATAAAACCAGTGTGGGGGTGGGCAAAGCCACCCACTGTAACCTGACCGGGGTGGCCACTGGGCTATTTTTAACAGGGGACAAAGTTAAACCTGGTGATTGTTCTGGGGACTCTGGCATGCAGGGGTAGGGCAGCGTTATCTGGCCCCCTGGCCTGCTGGTGCCTCAGGAGCCAAAATTAGTCCCTGGCTCTGCCAGGCCTTGTATGGGCACAGGGTGGAGGGCTGGTGTCCCCCTCCCAGCTCCACGGACTCCTGCAGGATAGGCAGGGGCACCCCCATAGCCAGCCATAGCCCTTCCCTGCCCAGGAATGGGGCCACATTTCCCAGGGCCGAGGGAGGGGTTCCCTTTTGGACAGCTGTCTGTGTCAGATGTCCTTGTCTCTGCGCTGGGGGTAGGTCAGCAACACGCCCCATCCCGAGATAGAATAGCATCTGAAGCCCCTCAGCGGCCCCAGCAGGGACTTGGGGTGACCTGACCACCCGCTAGCCCTTACCCCTGGCTAAGCCACTGAGCCCTGAGCCTGCCAGGCCAGATGGGGGCTGGGGCCCCAGTGCTCTGCTCCTTCTTCCCAGTCACTCCCTGCCTGCCTCAAACTTCAAAGCCCCTTCTTCAGCTCAGGATTCTGGCTCTGCAGCCCCCTTCTCACAACCCCTGTCCCACACTCCACAGCATCTTCAGCCAGTCAAGGGACTGGAGGGGGTGGGGGATTGGGAGTGTGTGAGAAGCAGAATGTGAGGGACAGAGATGGGGGGCAGGGAAACAGCGACAGAGCCTCAGAGGAAGAGCCTGGGAGGAACAAAGAGACAGAAAGAGACTGGGAAAGTGACCAGAGACACAAACGCAGAGAGATGTGGCCGGGAGACAATGACACAGACTATAGATGTCTGGAGACAGGTCTAGACTTGTTGCAAAAGCTTCGACATCCTCTTCCACCACCCTGCACAGCTCCCACAGACCCTAAACTCACCCCTTCCACACCCGGGAACACCAGACCCACCATCCCCTTGAAGGTCTGGGCTGAAAGTATGTGGGTCCTCTCCTGGGTCCCCACCACCTCCTGGGGGTGACCTTGCACCCCATCCCGAGCTGAATGAGCCCCCAGTGGGCCAACCCACCCCAGCCCTGCCCAGACCCATCCCTCACCGCAGCCTTGTAGATGTCATCCATACTGGCGGCTCACAGGGCAGGCTGCTGGTGTTGCCAGCAGCCCTGGGCTTAAATAGCCCTGCCCCATCTCATTCCCCGCCCAGCCCACCCCTGCCTGCAGTATCCTCCACTCCCTCCCCCCGGCTCTGGTGATCTCACACTGGCCTGAGTCCTGTGTCCTCTGCCCAGGGCAAGGAGCCGATGAAGGGCTACAAGGACCAGTTCTCTTTTCTTCTGTCCCCCATTCCTCCAGGGGACTCTCTGGAAAGGTTTTAATGAGTGAAAACGTGAGCCCAGGACAGGACAGGAGCTCCAGTGTCGTGGGCCTCAGGCCAGGCCCCTATACACATTAGCTCAACTCCTATCCAACCAGGGGGGTGGGTGACGCTCCTGGGGGGGTGGCGACTTGCTCAAGGTCTGTCTGACTTGGTAGCTCCTGCCTTAAGTTAAACCTCTCTGGAGTAGGGGCAGCAGTATACAAGAAGAGGCTGGGAGTGTAGGACCGGGCCAAGAGAAGCCTCGAATGCCAAGCTCAGAGTATGGTGCTGTGGAACTGGTGGAGAAGGAAGGCACTGACCTACCTCAGGAGAGTGTGGTCTGGAGCCCTTCTGCCAAGGGTGCCAGAGGAGCCATGCCCAAGACCTCTCATCTCCCCAGGGAGAAAAGTACTAGCTCTAGGCTTGACTGCACTCAATCAGTCATTCAACAAATATTGATACACCAACAGATGCCCCATCTGTGTAAGACTCTCCCCCTCCAGTTCCGTTACCACCTCTCTTTTCTAGACCTGGGTCTTCCCCTGAGTTAGGGCTGCTTCTCTGTGCTTCCCCTTTCCAGTACTGTAGTTCCTGGGTCCAGGACCAGGCTGTTGCCCCCTCATTTTGAGCTCTGGTAGGACACCATCTGGGGGTCTTGTGCCAGATGGCCAGCACATATCCCTTCCTTCCACCTAACCCTTCACCTCCTTCACACAGAGCCTACGCCAGTTCCCTGCCCTGCCTGACATGCATTGCATGGATTAACCCACTCAATTCTCTAGAAACCCATGTGACAGAGATCTCCGAGTCTCGGAGAGGTTAAGAAATAGCCCAGTTATTCTGTCCTGCTCGGGCTCCAGGCACAGATCAGATCTTCCTTCTCTCTCAACCCTCTCGTGCCCTCCAGGGAATAAGCCCAAGAGCCAGGTGAGATGTGGTTACTGTCTCTTATCTGGAGAGGGAAACTGAGGCCAGGCGTGGCAGTGACTTGCTTCGGGTAGCCCGGAAGGTGCGGGGCCATCGCACCTCCCTTCCTGGGCACCTAGCGGCAGTGCCCAGAGCAGTCCCTGCATAGGCCCTCAGTTTCTCCCACGCTGCAAAGAGCGCGGCAGGCGGCGCCACGCAGGTGCCGGTTACGCAAGAGGACAGTCCCCGGCGTCCTGCGCACGCGCGCCGCTGGCGGCTGCTGTCAATTACGCGCGAAGGGGGGAGTGGGGCGGGGGCGCGAGAAGGCGGCGGGGCCAAGATGGCTGCACGGCGCTCGGCGGGGGCGGGGGGCGGCGGGGGCCTGGGGGCGGTGGGACGCTGACCCCGCCCCCTGCTGCTGCCAGTCTGCACCGGGCGGCGGCGGCGACCGAGCCCGGAACATGGCGGCGGCGGCGGCGCGCAGCTTTGGTCCCGAGCGGGAGGCCGAGCCGGCCAAGGAGGCGCGCGTCGTGGGCTCTGAGCTCGTGGACACGTATACGGTGTGCTGGGGGCTTGGGCGCCCGAACTGGGGGTGGCGGCTGGAACCCGGAGCCTGAGTCGGGGGTGTTGGGGAGGGCGTCTGAGCCCCGCAACTGGGGAGCTGGGGGTAGGCGGGCTGCGAGTTTGAGGAGGGGGCCTGGGATGGCGGAATCTGGGGAAGGGGCCTGGGCCGCGCAGCTCCGGAAAGAGGGTCTTTGGGTGGGGCCCAGGGAGGGGGCTTGGGAAGGGTACGCGTTTAGAAAAGGAGGCTAGGGTTGAGGAGAATCAGGGGAAAAAGGGGGTCTGTGGAAGAGGGGAGTCAGGTTGAGGCGGAGGTCCCTCTAGATCCTCTAGGCCTGGAGGGGCGCCGGCCTGGGAGGACGTGACAGGGTGTCCCGGAGGAGGGGGATTAAGGAGTGGGGGATTTGATGGATGGAATCAGGGGAAAGGGTCAGGGCGCTGCAGGCTGTGAAGAAGTAGAGGGGGCGGGGCCTTGATTTGGGGGAGCCTAGGGGTTGCAGTTGAGATTTGCTCAAAAAGTAAAGGAGGGATCTGGGGCCTTCGCGCTGAGGCAGAGACAAGAATGGGGGAGGGGTGGGGCGCAGACACCGGGAACTGAGGGGGTGGCTCAGGGCTGAAAGGCCGAGACCCAGGAACCGTAGGGCTCTTCGTGGCTTTAGAGTGTGCGGGAGAGTTGGGGCAGCGTACCGCCCACGCACGCTTCAAGGCTGTTGGGGAGATGGAGGACAGAAAATGGGGGCAGTTGCGGACTGTGAAGGAGTTGGAGGCCCTCCGGGGTCTGGATGGGGTTGGGCACCAGGCCTGTGGGCCTCGGAGGCTGCCTAGCAGGGACTGGCCCCAAGGTGTGGGCATCCTGAGCACCTCCCAGCCTCCTGTCCTTTGTTCTCGGAGGGTGGGGGGGCTTTGGCCCTGCCTTCACCCCACCTCCTTGGCCCTCATCCTAACCCTCCTACTGAGGGTCATTTTTCTGGCTCTTTCTCCTTTTCTGGGCGGGAAGAGGGGGAGGGAAGCTGCCCGGCTGTGGAGAGGGGCTGGGGGCGGATCCTGGAGCAACAGGCCGGCCCTGGAGAAATGGCTGCTCCTCCAAGGAGGCTTCAGCAGAGTTGATTATTTTCTCCTCCCCCTTCCCTGCGTCCTTCAGAGAGGGGCGGGACCTTAGGACCAGGGGGCCTCATCCAGGTGAGGGTTGAGGTCTCTGAGCTGTTGGCTGGTTGGCCGTCACGCGTGCACTGCATGTAGCTGGAGGGTTGCTCCAAAAAGCCTCCTCATTGCACAGGGCTGAGTCCCTCCTGTGAATGGGTGTGGGGGGAGGTGGTGATCCAGGCGGACTGGACGGTACCTTTTCGTGTCCTTTTGTCCGGGTATGCTGATTTGAGTATTATTAACACACCTACCTTTGGTTGAACGCTTGCTATATGTCAGGCCCTTTACAAAGCATTTTGCGTGCATTACCTTTGATTCTTAAACCTAGCAGATTTTAAGCTGGAGGAACTGAGGCTCAGACAACTTAAGGCTCCCAGTCACTTATATAAGTGACATAAATAACCCATAGCCAGGAAATGGCAGAACCAGATTTTGAACACAGGTCTTCCTTGACTCTACAGCCTGTTCCCTTCTGATAGGGCTTAATTGTCCATCACTGCTTCCCCCCCGCCACCCCCACCATCAGCTTCTTAGTGCCTTGACTCCTGGCTCAAAAGCAGAAATCACAGCTCTGAAGCAGCTGAAAGCGTTGGAAAAGGACTTGATTCTAGGCTACAGTCAGGGCACCTGGGAAAGAATTACAGCAGAAAAGCTGGTCCTGCCAAACCTGACCCTGTTTTGCCTCTCTTAGAAGGAATGGCCTTCCTTTCCTGCAGCTCAGGTTGGATTGGGCTTTGACTTACATGAGGCTGGAGTTAAAAAACTAAAGAGATGGCTTGATATGATAGCCACCTTTTCTGTTTCTCACTGTTGGATAGAGCTCAGACTTATCCCATGTGCCTGCCAGATCCAGTGCTAGGGCCATGGAGGAGAGGGGGCCTTGCTGCTCGTAAGGATCAGGTGCAGAAGCTGGTGGGGAAGAGCAGCTTAACTTTGGCTTGGGGGTTGGGGGGGGTCTGGGTGTGCTACAGCTATCGTTAAGGGTAGGGTGGCACTTTCCTTACTGCCGGCTGGGCAAGGGCTATCGGTTTTTCCTTTTAGGTTTACATCATCCAGGTCACTGATGGCGGCCATGAGTGGACAGTCAAGCACCGCTACAGCGATTTCCATGACCTACATGAAAAGGTAACCCTTGAGAGCTGGGGTCCTGTGTCTCAGGGCTTGGGGGCTTTTAGGCCAAGCTCCCAGTGTGCCTGTTTTAGGGCAAAACAGGCTCTGTGCCAGTTACATTAATAAACTGGTTTGCTAATGTAACTGGCAAAAAAAACTGGTGGATTCTGGGAGTTCAACCCTTGCATAAGATAGTGTGCAAGGAGCATATTTGAACTTTAGTTTTAAGATTGTCAGTTGTAGCTTGGATGTGAGATGCCGGGACAGTTTCCCGGGGAGAGAACAGGCTTGAACTTGTTCCATCTGACTATACCTATTCCAGAACCTATGCTTTAATATCTGACTGTGATTCCATTTCTTCCTTTGCGTTTGGAGAGAGCTGCCTTTCTCTGGGTCATTTGCAGCACAAGTATTTTGTTCTGGTTTGGAGAAGATGGTGGTTTTAGGGACCTTGAGGTATTATTTTCCTAAATGTCTCCAAAGCCTCCAGATGGAACTTCTCATCTGAAATTGTATTGGTATTTCTAGTGCTAATTAAACTTGAGGCCAAATCCCAGGTGCAGCAGTTTGATCATTAATTCTGGTACTACTGCCAGGAGGGGCTGTGGAAGTCATAATAAGCACCTGCCCTCAGGCTGGTTGCCTTGGCCTTGCACAGTTACAGAACCTCTTGGTCTGTGGTTGACATTATGTTTGCTTACAGCTCGTCGCAGAGAGGAAGATCGATAAAAGTTTGCTTCCGCCCAAAAAGATAATTGGGAAAAACTCCAGGAGCTTGGTGGAAAAGAGGGAGAAGGATCTGGAGGTCTACCTCCAGACACTTCTGGCCACCTTCCCTGACGTGGCCCCCAGAGTGCTGGCCCACTTCTTGCATTTTCACTTCTACGTAAGTTCCTCTTGGGTTTTCTCCTTTGCCTACAAGCCCACAGCCACCAAAACTCCAGGCAGCAAACCCTTGTAGACCTCAGCTTTGAGGAGAGGTGGGCTGGAGCTGGAGCCTGAGGTTAGAAGATGGAGGAGCGTCCTGGTGGGGTTGGGGTACGGACAGAAGCATGTGCATCAACGGATTTGCCTTAAATTAGACTATTGGCTGTGGCCACGGAGCGGTTTTTCTCCACCACAAGGCGTTCTGTTTAGCATAAATGGCCTTTGGGTTTTTGAGCTACATTCCGTCCAAATGGATGGGGTTAGATTAGAAACAGCTGACACTCAGCATCGACTGTTGTTGAGTTGTTGGTTCCCAGCTCAAAACTAATTAAGGGATCAGTCTGTGTTGGCAGAATATTGCCATCTTAGGGCATCGTCAGAGTCCAGGATGCTGAGTGAGAGTAGGTGGCTTCCTCCAGTGGGACTGTATGTCTCAGAGCAGCTCTGTACCCCCTTCTGGATGGAGGAACAACTGTCATGGGCTGCTGGTGACAGGATGAGTTGTCAGAATTCAAGGAGGGAAGTTTGGTGCAGTATGAAACCAAAATGTTAAAAAGCTAGCAATTTCATTTCTGAAAATTTATTCTAAGGGAAAATACTGGGCTATTGAGAAAAGGATATGGGTACAAAGATAGTCATTCCAGGATTATAACGAAATATTGAAGACAGTCAAAAGCCCAACAGAAGGCTACATAAAAAAAAAAAATTAAAGAGTGCAACCATGTAATTGGATATTATGCTGCTAGAAAAATGATGGTGTAGCTGTGGATTTGTAGGAAAACAAATATATTACTGTATGAAAAGAGGCCAGAAAACGGTATTAGGGTATGGTCCCATTTTCATTAAAAAAAAAGCTTGTATGAATATGTCTAGGAAAATTCTAGAAGGTTATACATCAAAATGCTAGGAGTCTTTGGGTGATAGATTTTTGGATAATTTACATTTAATTGTTTTCTCTGTGTGATGAAGATAGGGGGAAAAAACTCCCTTTTCCTTTTCAGGCTTGCCTTTTAGGAAGGGACCTGTGGGTTGTGGTCTTAAAGGCCCAAACTTATTTAAACAATAACTGTCTTGAGCTATTTTCAGAGTAAGACAGCTGAACCTTTCTTGAAGTGTTAGAGCCTGGGAATTTGGTGATAGCACTAGCAATGGGCCTCTCGGCTTGGAGGGGCCATGTGGAAAAAAGGGTGGCATTTATAGATGGAAGATATATATGTATATATATATCTTTGGATTTTGTTTGGCATATACCAGTAATGTATGTGGTTAGCAGTAGTTTCCTGTTATAGCCTTTTTTTTTTTTTTTTTTTTGCATTTTCTTTCCTTATGTGAAAAGAAACGTCCATTCCTTATGTGAGTCTTTCAGATAAACTTAACTGGTTAGTATTTTAAGAAATGCTGTAATTTAAGAAAGCTTTGTTTGGCTATTTAGGTTTAAAACTTGATAAGCAGCCCTTTGAAAATATAATTCATTGCTTAAGACGTGGGCCTTTGAGGAGGTCTCCTGGATACCTCTGAGCATGGAAAGGCCTGGACTGCTCTTTTGAGATAGGTTTGCCTGAGATAGGCCTGGGACCTTGCCCCGCATCTGTGGTTCTGGTTTGAGGCATGCTCTACTGCTTGGAGCAGTTCGAATGTATTTGAAATAACAGTTATCAAAAGGGCCACTTGGTTATATAAATCCAAGGTTTTAAAAAGTGATTGGTCCATCATTAAACTGAATCAAGGTTTCTCAGCTGTGGCACTGTTGACATTTTGGGCTGGACGATTGTTGTGGCAGCTCCTCTGTGCATTGTTGAGCAGCATCTCTGGTCTCTGCCCACTAGATGCCAGTAGCGTCCCCTCCCCCCCACCCACCAAGTTGTAACAACCAAAAATGTCTCCACTGGTTGCCAAGTACTGCCTGAGGGGCAAATTGCACCTGATTGAGAATCACTAGATTAGATCTTCAAATGACTTTGAACAAACAGGGTCCAAAAGATTTGTCAGCCTTTTTTATAGGCTGGAAGCCCTTAGGGAGTGTTTCTGATAACCTTTGCCCCATCAATGTTCTCTCTGAAATTGTTCCCAATGTGCTCCACCTCTTGTGGGGCTGACAGTGGACAGGGTGGACCCAGGGAACCCTGTTTGGCTGAGGTGTGGATTTAAAAATTTGAGATATAATTCACATACCATAAAATTCACTCTTTTAAAGTGTTCAAGTCCCTGGTTCTTAGTGTATTAACAGAGTTGTGCATCTGTCTCTACTATCTAATTGCAGAACATTCATCACCCCAAAAAGAAACGATGTACCCATCAGCAATCACTAATGTACTTTCGTAATGTATGGATTTGCATATTCTGGACGTTTCATATAAATGGAATCATACAATATGTGACTTTGTGACTGGCTTCTTTCACTTAGCATAGTGTTCTCAAGGTCCATTCATATTGTAGCATAAATCAGTACATCAGTCCTTTTATGGCTGAGTAATATTCTATTGCTTGGAGACACCACAGTTTGTCCATTTATCAGTTAATGGACATTTAGCTGGTTTCCAGTTTTTAGCTTTTGTGAGTAAGGCTGCTATGAGCATTCATATATGCTTCTGTATAGACCTATATTTTTATTTTTCTCAGGTATATACTAGGAGTAGAATTGTTGGATTCTATGGTAACTTTAACTGTTTGAGGAACTGCCAAATTTTCTTCCGTAGTGGCTGCACCATTTTACATTTCCACCAGCAATGTGTGGGTTCTTATGTCCCCACACCCCTGCCAACACTTGTTACTGTCCACTTTTTTGGTAGCCATCCTCATGGGTTTAAAGTGGTATCTCATGGTGGTTTTGATTTGCATTTGGCTAATAACTAATAATATTGAGCTTCTTTTCATATGCTTATTGGTTATTTGCATATCTCCTTTGGAGAAATGTATTTAAATTCTTTGCACTTCAAAAAATTAGGTTATTTTTGTTGAGTTGTAGGAGTTCTTTACATATTCTGGATGGATATTAGACCCTTATCAGAAATATGATATGCAAATATTTCCTCTCATTGTGTGGTTTGTCTTCATTTTCCTGATAGTATTCTTTGAAACACAAAAGTTTTAGATTTTGAAGTTTATCCATTTTTCCCCTCTGGTCGCTTGTGGTTTTGGTATCATATCTAAGAAACCATTGCCTAATCCAAGGTCACAAAGAGTTACAACTGTGTTTTTCTTCTAAGAGTTTTATAGTTTCAGCTCTTGTATTTAGGTCTTTTAACCATTTTGAGTGAATTTTTGTACATGCTGTGAGGTTGGGGTGTGGTGTGAGGTTGGTAGTGTGAATTTTAATGTCAAGGAAGGAAAGCACCACTTCTCTCCCCAGCCAACTGAGATGGAGTGTCCAGAGGCCAGTGCAGCCCTGTGTTGCAGTGAGAGGGCACACCTCAGCCCTGGCCTACTGCTGGGCTCTCTCCCTCCAGATAACTCTGCCCTAGTGTTCCTGCACCCTCAGGGACAGACCTCATCCCAGAGCCCCTAGAGCAGAGGGCTTCAAATTCAGTAAAGTGGAATCCCACGGAGAATTTCAGCACACACCTCTTTGGGGTAGGATGTCTGACAGGCAGGCAGAGTTGAGTTTGTCTCCCAGCCCTGCTGCTTCCTGACAGTTTATTCCAAGGCAGTCATTTTAACCCCTGTGTCCCAGTTCCTCTTGTGAGCTGGAGAGTGATGATCCCGGGCTCTTGAGGATTGCAGGAGAACATGAGGTGAAGGTGAATGACCGAGAAGAGCGATGGGCCCGTGGCAGGGGCTCACCGGGTCCCAGCCAGTGCCAGCTCTCCTAGTTAGGAAAGGCACTCACTGCTTGTCAACGGTGGTATTTATATCATTTTCTTACTTTAAAACCCGTTGGCTAGGGCTTCCCTGGTGGCGCGGTGGTTGAGAATCCGCCTGCCGATGCAGGGGACACGGGTTCGTGCCCCGGTCCGGGAAGATCCCACATGCCGCGGAGCGGCTGGGCCCGTGAGCCATGGCCGCTGAGCCTGCGCATCCGGAGCCTGCGCTCCGCAACGGGAGAGGCCACAACAGTGAGAGGCCTGCATACTGCAAAAAAATAAATACATAAATAAAACCAGTTGGCTAGAACAAAGCCACTTTTTGAAATTTGAAATCAGGAGATAGGATAAAACTGTTACCAACCTAAAGGCAGCCTTTGGTGATTTGTTTTACTTGCAAAATACAGAGGCTGTAAGTGATAACGGATATCTTTGCAACTTAGTTACAGTCTTGGAACTCTCCTCAGCCAAAGCTTAGGCTTGAATCTATCCATCAGGAATTTTTACGCACCTAGTATACCTGACTTTTGCTAGCGTGCCTCACAGGAGTGAAATAAATTATAAAAGGACTCCCAGCCCTTAGTGTGTGTGTGTAAACCACACAGTGATGTGTAATTGAGTCCCTTGTTAATGTCCCACTGACACGCACTCTGTGCTCCAGCCTGTGTCAGGTAGGAGTGTCGGGCTGGACTGGGGTTATTCATTGAGTAGGGTCTGCGCTTCGGGGGGCAGTGGATCATGGGGTTCTGCATGCACAGACATGCTCAGTCAGAGCGGTAGTCGCCGAGCAGCAGCCTGATAGTCCATGGTGCGTTTGTGTGCAGCTCACACTGTTGCCCAAGGTTGCAAACCAGCATGTGACCTGGCAGGTGGCTGATTGATTGGTCTGTAACACGTTTGGAGGTGGGTATTATAGTTTTTAAACATAGCTAATTTTTTTTAATTGAAAAAAAAATTGAACTATAAAGAATGTCTTTTTTTTAAAAATGCATTTCAGTTCAGACATTTGTGGGACACTGAAGCACTTCAAGTCCCTTCAGCAGGATTGGGTGGTGTGTGGGTGGGGTTACCTGTTCCCACAGGTGACCTCTGAGCAGAATCTACAGGAGCTTAGACTGGGGCCCACTGTCCCCCCCCCCCCATTTCCTCCTGGCAAGGGGCTGCTCACCTTTGCACACAAGGCCACAGTTCAGCCAGAGCACCCTGAGGAGGCAGAGAACGTGCTTCTCTGAAGAGACCTGTGCTCTAGATTTGTGGGCTGAGGCATTTCTTTGTTCCTTTTTGATTAAGGGTCTCCCAAGGTGAAGAAGATCAGCCTGGGAAACTAAGTAGGTAGTGTTGCCACAGGGCACAGTTCCTCTGGCCCAAGAGCAGGGAAAGAAATTGTTACATAGTCTGCTTTTTAGATTGTAAGTGGAAACATGCTCTTTGCTTAGCATGAGCCCTTGGCTCTCACTGTCTCTGGGCTTTCTGTGTCTTCTGGAAATCCCAGCAGGGCTGGTGTTGACGGCGGCTGCCTGGAGAAGTGTAACTTTGAGGGTGAGGGTTGTTGGGCACTAAGGGTGGACAGGGAACACTTTTCCCCACGGGAGACCTTCTAGGAGCCCAGTGTCAGTAAGGGGCTGGAGAGGCTGGGCAGCTGCTCTTGGGGGTTGGAGGTGGGTGCAGATCAGGCCTCTGGGAGCTGCTCAGGAATCTGTATCTTTTTTATTTTTGCGGTACGTGGGCCTCTCACTGTTGTGGCCTCTCCCGTTGCGGGAGCACAGGCTCCAGACGCGCAGGCTCAGTGGCCATGGCTCATGGGCCCAGCCGCTCTGCGGCATGTGGGATCTTCCAGGGCCGGGGCACGAACCCGTGTCCCCTGCATCGGCAGGCGGACTCTCAACCACTGCGCCACCAGGGAAGCCCAGGAATCTGTATCTTTTAAGGCTGTCCAGGCGTTCTGACTACCGGCAGGATGGGGAGGTGCTGATCTGAAGACAGGGCTTGGTTCTCAAAGGTGGAGGTAGAGAAATGAGCCTTTAGGTCGTTCCTAGGTCTTACTGATCTTCGGTTCTTCACAGCAGCCAAGGAAAAGGTAACTGAGTTGTTGCGAGAGAGTGAAGTTGAACTTTGGAGTGAACTGATGCCTTCTCCTCTCACTGGCTGGAGCCTCTCCTGCTCAGAGCCTGCTCTGCCCCTCTGGTGGCCATTTTACATTTGACCCTGCGTCTTGCCAGACTCTGAGCTCCTTAACGCTGGAGCTGTGTTTGCTCATTTTTCTCCCTTTGGCTTTTTGTTCATGTGTGAGAATAAGGGGAAGTTATTCTCATATTATATATAAATTGAATTTCAAGCAGATGAAATAAACACGTTTTATTTTTAACAAATACCTTAAAATACTAAAAGGAGAAATTAGGGGAATGTTTATAATCTTGAGGTGGGGGAAGAGGTTCCAGAAATGACAAAGAAAAAGAATCACAGGTTTAAAAACATGAACTTGACAAACCTCTCTCTGTCAGGAGAAACAGGGTGAGTGTAGGTAAAAGGCATACACAGACAGGAAGAAGATATTTGTAGCACATAAACAACATGTAAAGTATCCTCTATGTATAAAAGGCAAGGAAGAGACGAGCAACCAAGAGAAAAACAGGAAAAGGACATCATGTCTCCTGCAACCTGGTACCTTTTGAGTCCGGTAAACATGTGAATTGCTTGTCCTGGTGGCAGAGGTGTTCCTGTGAGTTACAAAGGCGATTGTGCAGCCTCCATCTGGACCTGTTTATGAAAGTCCGTTTCGCTGCCATCTGTCAATTAGTTACAGTTCTTACCTGCAGGATGTGGGGCTGCGGGCCCCAGGGCCCTGCCAACCCCACGGCTACACCACTGAAATGCTGAGGCAATTGGTTGTGAACAGAGAGGATTCAAGACCAAGTGCTTGGGAGTGGGGCTTTGCTAGTTTCTAGCCATGTAAAATGGAGAACTACAGCACCTGTCCATCTCAGTTTGCTTACCTGGGAAACAGGATTCAAAATAAGGGCCTCCTGGCCTAGGGCATTGGGAGGACTGAGCAAACCTCTGGGTGGGGAGTGCTCAGGCCATCGCCTGGTGTGAATTAGGACCCCAGCATGTTAGCCGTTTACTATGACTGAAGGCTGGTCCTTGTCGTGCCTCCTTTATCCCATCACTCTAAAAGGAAATCCTTTCATGCCTCTTTCTCATGACCCTGGGCTGAGTGGTGCTGTTGCAGGGCTTGAAGGGATGGGCACAGGAAGAGAGCGGGCGCTTGCTCTTTCCTAAGATACGTGTGGGGCATGAATGTCAGTAGAAATGGTCCCTCTCAGGCAGGGTTAGCTCTGGGAGGCCCTTTTTCCCAGCAGGGTGATGGGAGCCTCTTTTCGAGAAGAAACAGGACTGTCTCTCTACCATGCGTCTCCTAGGAATCCCCCAGGGCCAGTCTGGGGAGCTGCTGGCTTCCCAGCCAGCTCTTGACATGGCCAAGCTTTGCAGCCTCCCGGGCGTGGTGTTCTCAGCCAGTGCCTGAGTGGCCTTGGAGTTGCAGTGTTAGTCTATTCGGTTCTCCTTTGGAGGAGACATTTCAAATGTCCCTTTAGCTGGAAATATTGTTTACTTTTCTGAGCTCTTTGATTCATTTTAGTTTGTTCTCTCCATTTTGTTTTACTTTCTGGAAAGCTGGCATTGCAACAGCAGAGGGGGTCGATAGCAGGGAATGTGCAAGTCCCAGTGACTGGGAGCAGGTGCATTTCCTGACTGTGGGTTTTGTTTTCTCTGCAGGAGATTAATGGCATCACTGCAGCACTGGCTGAGGAGCTCTTTGAAAAAGGTATATGGCCAGGGGTCCTTGAAATACTGGGTGCAACTTGCCCAGCCCTGTTAGGCAGCCAGGGGCCCTGGGTGGCACAGAACTCCATCAGTTGCTCTGTGCCAAGTGAGTCCTAACCAGGGCCCACCTACCTGGGGTTGCCCAAATCCCTGGACCTCGTCCACAGCCAGGCCTGCCCACCTACCTGTTCTGCAGGTCTGAGGAGCTGTATTCTTCACCTTAGGACCCCCGGGTCCCTGTGTCGGGGGCCAATCCCAGGCTCAGGATCTATTCCAGGGCCTTATGGTGGAGTTCTGGAAGGTGGGTGGCATGCTGCCCTTTGCACCGGGTCTGTCCTTACCTAAAAAGATTCCGATGGCAAACAGAAGCTAACTTAGGGTCGCGGCCCTGCCAGAGAGCACAGTAATGGTAGCTAAGATGTAAAGAGTGCTTGTGGTCTAGCCTTGTGTTTGTATCTTACTGCCTCCCCCCAGGAGGGCCAGAGAAGGGCATTGAGGATAAGAGGCCCAGTTACCTGCCTGAAGGCAGGTAACGTGGTTGGAAGGTACATGGTTGGAAGGAGCAAAACGAGGACCAAATGCCAGTCTGTCTGGCTTGGCTCAGAACCCCCTCCTGCTCTCAGGCCCTGTACTGTGCTGGCACCTTAGGCCTCACCTAACCTTAAGACGTCTGCATCTTGGAGGTTGCAGCATGGGCCCGATGCCCACAGTGCTGCCTGCATCAGCTTTCTCCTGGCCCAGTGCCTCAGATTTTTAACTCAGGGAGGTTCCCCAGCTGCAAATTCCCGTGGCTCTTCCCTCCTTTGTAATCACGTGTCCTGGGTCTCCCCTGCATGCAGTCAGCTCAGGAGGGGGGCCGCTCCTGCATTCTCAGGACCATGGCTTCCTCCCGACTCGGTGCATCTAATGGGTGCTGGCCAAGTGCTTGTCCACTGTTGGCCAGGTGTGCCGGTGCCCTGGCCACACAGTGGGGCTGGGGCTGGGGCTCAGTGCTTACCCCACGGGCTATGGCTGTTGCAGGAGAACAGCTCCTGGGGGCCGGTGAGGTCTTTGCCATCAGGCCCCTGCAGCTGTACGCGGTCACCGAGCAGCTGCAGCAGGGAAAGCCCACGTGCGCCAGCGGGGATGCCAAGACTGACCTGGGGCACATCCTGGACTTCACCTGTCGCCTTAAGTACCTTAAGGTAAAGATGGGGCAGCTCGGTCGGGGAGAGCTACTCAGTCGTGGGCATGCACCTCCTAGCCTGGCAGTATGTGTGTGTGGAGACTCCGTGGGCCCTGAGGGAAGGAAGGCTGCATTTGGTGATCTTGGCACTGTGCTTTCAGCTGTGAGCACCAGGGGGCAGTCGTGAACCAATGGCCCCTCGCTTTAAACGTCCGCTTTAGCCTGCTTTGTTGACCGTGGAAGTGGTGAGTGGGAGTACATGCCCAGCCTGCCTCTCACAGCCAGGCGAAGCTTCGAGTGCGGTTTGGTAGTTGCTGTAGCACCGCCCTGTGAACATGGATGGGAAGTGGTTGTTACAGCAGCATCTCTAATTCAAGCCATTTATTTGGCTGTAGGTTTCTGGCACAGAAGGACCTTTTGGGACCAGCAACATTCAGGAGCAGCTTCTGCCTTTTGATCTGTCAATATTCAAGTCTCTTCATCAGGTGGAGGTAAGGCCCAGGGCCCCTGGAATGCAGGCGGGGCTGAGCCCTGTGCAGGATGGTCTTGCATTCTGACCATCCTATCTTTGGCTATGGAGTGTTCCCAATGTTGGGTGTCTGGATTTAATTGTCAGACACTGTTGCTTTTGTGTTTGTCAGTATGTGGCAGATTCCATTTAGGTAAGTTAGGCCCATCTGAAGGCGGAAAAAGAGGGGCTTCTGCTATTCTTGGCTGGTCTGCATGTCCCCACCCCTGCAGCATTTGGACAGGATGGAGCACTAGTGCCCAGCTCCTTCTGGGCTTCCTCATTGTGCGAGTTGAGGTGCTGGGAAGCCATCCTGAGGGTCAGGCAGAGCCAATTCCAAGTCTTTGTCTCCCAAGGCAGATCAGCAGAGGGTTTGGAGGGTCCTCTGCTCTCTGGCATGCCTACACCTAACAAGAAATACTTCGCATTACTCACTGCTAAACTCCTGGGTTCACAATGCCAATTTTGTTACCACTTTTTAAATAAATGAGAGGGGACTCAGTAATGAATAATAAAAATTTTCTCATCTCAGCAATGAGAAATCAATGCTTTTGTGTTCAGCCCTGTGCCGCATGTCTGATGTTCACTCCTTGATGGAATCTTCTCAACCATGTGAAGTGGGCACTTGTATTCCCATTTTACAGTTGAGAAAACTGAGGCTTAGGGAGGTAAGGAAGTTTGGCCAGGATCACACAGTTAACGAGGGGGAAGCTGGGATCTGAGTGCAGCTGAGTCTGACTCTGCAATGTGCTGCAATTGTCTCAGAGACCTTGAGGGCCATTCCCTCAATGGGCATTTGTGCCTCGATCAGCACAGGTGAGTGGGGCTGGGAAGTGAGAGGAGTGCCTGGCTGGCTGGCTGGGCAGGCTGAGGCTCCGCCGGGCGGGGTGTGTAGCCCTTGGGCAGGCTTGAGGGAGGGTGCTTTGGCCTGTACCCCTCCCTCCTCCTGCAGGGCCGCTGAGGCCAGTGAAGTGAGGCTGGTGAAGTCATCGGCTCTCCAGCTCTGCTGTCCCTGGCCCTCACTTTGTGTCCAGCTGCCAAGCCCCAAGCAGCCCTTCAGAGAAAATGGAGTTCATGGTTCATTATCTCATAAGCTACTTCAGAGAATGTTTAGTTAACACTAAAAATTGAGGAAAGGAGAGACTTAAGGTTTAAGTCACCTCCTGTCTCGAAGGATTCGGGGTCACCGATGGTTGTGCTCCTTTTGTGTGTGGGTGATGAACACCCACTTCCTGGGACTTCTGGTGGAGCAGTGATGCCGTTTCTGAGACGTAGCTGTTCTTGTTCCAGATAAGTCACTGTGATGCCAAGCGCATCCGGGGGCTGGTCGCGTCCAAGCCCACCTTGGCCACGATGAGTGTCCGCTTCTCAGCAACTTCCATGAAGGTAAGTGCAACCTGTTACCGCCCAGGGTGCTGTCTGAGGGGCAGAGTCCTGCACTGTGGTCTTCCCATGGAGGATCATGCGAACTCTGCTGCCATCTGTCAGGAGCCAGAAGCCAGACTTCCTCTGGTCAGCCGCACACTCACCTCCCAGTGCTCGACGGTCCCTGGGACGCTTCAGCCCAAAATCAACACTGTTAAACGAGAGATTTTAAGGAACTGGGTAACCCCTTCCCATGGAAAAAGCCACTGTTTTTTTAATAACCAAATTGTTTAGCAGCGGCGAGTGTCAGAACAATTATTACGTGGACTGATAAAAATGTTTCTCTAAACATAAAAAGCCTTGGTGTGGCACTCGTTCGTATCTTGTTCTCAGTGGACTTGAGTAGACAGGCCAAGTTGTGTATGCTGGGCCCTGTTGTTTGTATGTGAGTGACACAAATATGCAAACTGAGAGTGTAAGAGATCTCTCTCTTTATGGGTTGCATCTTAGTAATGTTAAAATTCTTCTAGAAAGAAACATTGTGGCACTTTTAGAACTTAGAGTGTCTGATCAAGATTTGGTTTGGTGAAAAGTCTTTGTCTTGAGGCTACTGGCTGAAAGGAGGAGGCTTGTGTCAGGCAGCCTTGCCCCTCTGGGAGGCACTCCCTGCTGCCTGGACCCAAGGAGCCCAAGATGATCCATTGCAAGAGGAGAGGTCTTATCAAAGGGCACCAGAAATCGAAACAAGGAGGCCTGCCTGCCTCCCTCCCCTCGGATGGTGCCCCTGTGCTCTGTGCTGCTCCCCTGTCTCAGGTCTGCTGGATTTTACCTTGTAAAGTTATGGTTAAAGGGCCTACTGTCCACCACGGGGACCACAGTGCCAGCTTGTAAAGCACAGCTGCCTGGGAACACTGCAAATTCTGACCTTCAGTCTCTGAGATTTAAGCCAGAAAAGGCATCACCGTATAACGAGGCTCTTGCGAGCTGGAAAAGCATTTGCTCAAGTAGGGCCAGAACATATTCCAAGTGGCTGTTATGTTTCTGAACTCTTCAGTTATTTCACAATCATTTCAAGGCATATGAACCAAAAGCCCCATTTTAATGCAAGTTCACTTCCACATACTAAATATGCTCCAGCCCTTCCTGAAATTTTGCAACGATTGTGTTCCCAGTCAGTGTTGCATGAGGGCCCACGTGTGGTGCTCACCAGATGTTCTTACACAGGAAGTCCTCGTTCCTGAAGCCTCAGAATTTGATGAGTGGGAACCAGCAGGAGCAGCCCTGGAGGGCACTGTGACTGCCATCATCCCCATGTGGCAGGCGCTGACCGCTCTGGACTTGAGTCACAACAGCATCTCTGAGATCGATGAGTCTGTGGTACGCTCTCCACGGCCTGACCAGACCCTGGGGTTGGATATTTAACCTGGCTTTTTCTAGAAGGACCACTGAAAACCTGTACCCAGCACTCTGTACATTGCCTGTAATTTTTAAGTTAATTTCAAAATTGGGTTATTTAAACGAGGTGAGGAGTGCTTAGAACCAAATGAAGTGTATTAATTGCATGTACATTTGATAGAACAGAAACACAGTAAGTGGTGAAATTTATTCCCAAGGAGTGTAGCAGAAAAATCAGTCTATAGGTTCCAGGGACTTCCCTGGTGGTCCAGTGGTTAAGAATCTGCACTTCCACTGCAGGGAGCACGGGTTTGATCCCTGGTCAGGGAACTAAGATCCTGCATGCCGCGTGGCACAGCCAAAAAAAAGAAAGGTTCTAGATGTGCCCATGTAAGAGTGACATCCAGATGGTACTTGGGCAGTAGGACTGTGATTCCTGTACTTGTGCCTCTCAGTGGGTGTGGGTAGAGTTGAAGGACATACCTCCTTCTGTCTGCAACCTTGCCATTTGTCTTTTTTTTTTTTTTTTTTTTTTTTGCTGTACGCGGGCCTCTCACTGTTGTGGCCTCTCCCGTAGTGGAGCACAGGCTCCGGACTCGCAGGCTCAGCGGCCGTGGCTCACGGGTCCAGCCGCTCCGCGGCATGTGGGATCTTCCCAGACTGGGGCACGAACCCGTGTCCCCTGCATCGGCAGGCAGACTCTCAACCACTGCGCCACCAGGGAAGCCCCATTTGTCATTTTTACAAGCCAAGTGTTCCGTAAAAACAGTGGGTCGTGCTCAGCACTGGAGTCCCTGTGTTCTGTGTTCCTGAGGACGTGTTTCTGGGTGGGCACTGGGAGGTGTCACGTCAGGGGCCCCGCACAGATGGCCAGCCCAGGAGTCTGTGGTCAGGAGGAAGCCTCCCAGGTTGTCTGTCCACCATGTCCAGGGGCCATGTGGGGTCCAGCTTCCTAGGATAACGTCATGTGTTATCTTTTCTTTCACAAGAAACTGATTCCAAAGATTGAGTTCCTGGACCTGAGTCACAATGGAGTGCTGGTCGTGGACAATCTGCAGGTAATTTGTGTCTTTGGAGACCATTATTACCTGCAGGCTTCTCACAAGGTCCCATTCTCCTGAGATGCAGCCTTGGGAGTTTGGCCGTACTCTGGGGTTTCTCTCATGGGTCCTCGAAAGGTGTCTGCATGCACCAGAGGTTTGTAAAGGCAGGGGCTGCTGCCCTTCCCTTTGGGTCCCAATGATGCACACTGAGCGTTTGTTGCTCTAGTTCCCCCAAATTAGAAAAGATGTGTAAATACAAATCGAGTGAGATGAAGATGATGTGCCTCCATTGTGAAGACGGACAGTCTCATTTTCAAAGCCCGTGCGGGGGATGCAGCTGGCTGTAACCTGTGCAGGGAAGAGGGATTTCCCTTCGGAATAACTGTCAGAGGAACTGGTCATTTTAGGTTGGAAGGCCCATCACACCCTTAATGTCAGTCCCCTTTCTTTGGAGCCTTGACCTTAACCACTTTACTCTGTTCTCAATGCTGCCGTAGCACCTGTACAACCTCGTGCACCTGGACCTGTCCTACAACAAGCTCTCCTTCTTGGAAGGGGTTCACACCAAATTGGGGAACATCAAGACCCTGAACCTGGCAGGCAACCTCCTGGGGAGTCTGAGTGGCCTGCACAAGCTCTACTCCCTGGTCAACCTGGATCTCAGTGACAATAGAATCGAACAGGTGAGCTGTGCCCCAGAAGGGTCTTGGGGTTCTGGAGTCGCTGTGCCTTGGCGTTGATCACTTTAGCGAGAATAGTGGGCTTCCTTTCTTTGACTGTCAAGTGTGTGGTCACCTTGCTGAAGTGCTAAAGAAGGGACACGGGAATGCCTTGCAGATGGAGGAGATCAGGAGCATCGGCAGCCTCCCGTGTCTGGAGCATGTGGCTCTGCTGAACAACCCTCTGAGCATCATCCCTGACTACCGGACCAAGGTGCTGGCTCAGTTTGGAGAGCGGGCCTCGGAGGTAAGCTGCTTGGGGAGGGGTCAGCTGGAGGTGACATCCGCTTACGTATACTTGCCTGATTCAGAAGGACGTCCTGACCCTGAGGGGCCTTTCAGATCTGGGCAGTCCGCTGCCTCCCCAGGAAAAGGGTCCCTCATGCATCTCCTCTTGGGGGCCACTGGCTGCCGTGCTTCCTCAGTGGGCTTCCCCTCACCTCTGTCAGAGCTTCAGGTTGGGGTGCTCCCCAGGAACCAACAGGCACAGCCTGAATGTGGAGGGACTGTCTTCAATTTGTTAAAAAGTAATGTTTATTGTAGACAAGGGTCAGGAATAAGATATCTGAAATAATTATATTTCCTGGACAACCTCTGGCCATAAAGTCTGACCATAAACCTGAAGGGATTGCCCACCTTGGCCAGTGTCACCCAGCCCATCTGCTGTCTGCCAGGTGGCCGCCTGCTGCCCCGCTAGCCCAACAGGTCCGCCTCCAGGTTCACCTGCCTCCTCAGCCTCAAGCAGGCTCCCTCCGCTCTCCCCAAATCCCAGGCTGGAAGATACCTGGGAGTCTATTTGCATCCTCCCCCCAACCCCTCCCATCTCTTTTCAGCCCCAAGTGCACCTTTCTCCACATTGTCACCAAGACAACATTCACAAGATGTCACCTCCTCCCCTCCCTGGCTCCCAGGCCCTTGGGACCTTCCCTCATTTGACCACACTGCTGCTCCCCGCTGCCTGCCTGCCGGGCCACAGCTCCCTCCTACACTTGCAGGTGGCGTCCCTGCCCTTCTGCCTGCTTCCCATGCCTTTGCCCTCCCAGTTCCCCAGCCCAGAAGGCCCTCCCCTTGCTCTTTGCAGATCTGAGTTCCGCCATAATTGGAGGCTTAGTTCAAGGCACCAGCTTCCCCCCTCTCCCAGCCACCTCAGAGGCCTTCACAGTGGCCCCTGCAGCCCTTCCTTCCTTTCCTGGAGAGGGACTCCCAGAACTGGGCTAGGCAGTGTGGGACCTCCCTGGGCCACTCCAAGGAGTTCCCAGGTCGCTTCCATGGGTGGCGAGGAGCTCACCTCCCAGCAGGCTGAGCCTCTGCAGCCTCCTGTGTCCTCACGGCGCCTGGCCCACCCCTCGGTGGGACCCTGCCATTCTGCTCCCTCAATGCTTGCCAGCACCTATGCTGATAGCCATTTTCTGGACACTGTAGGTCTGTCTGGACAACACAGTGACCACAGAGAAGGAGTTGGACACGGTGGAAGTGCTAAAAGCAATTCAGAAAGCCAAGGAGGTCAGGTCCAAATTAAGCAACCCCGAGAAGAAGGTGAGTCTTTGTGTGGGAGCTGGGAGGAGGGGTGGTGAGGAGCCAGCCGGGGAAGGAGCTGGCTTGCAGTGGAACTGGGCCAGGGAGCACTCCAGGCCAGGGAGTCCTGGCTGCACCCCCCGCACCCCAGGCTGCATGACCCTGGGCTTTCACGCCCGCTCTGTTCTCGTCTGTGAGATGGGGGGTCACGATAGGACTTGCTGCATGGGGTTGCTGAGGGTTGGTTAAGATCTCTTTCCCTGTCACTGATGTTTGTGAGAGCCATGAGCTTCTCACATCCCAGGCTCTGCCAGGCTCTGTTCTCTTCTTCTGGATCTATCTCCTCTCCCCGACTGACTCAGCACTTCTCCTCAGGTCAGTGAGGATTCTAGGCTGTCTGCTGCCCCGTGCGTCAGGCCCAGCAGCTCCCCTCCTACCGTGGCTCCCACCTCTGCCTCCCTGCCCCAGCCCATCCTCTCCAACCAAGGTAATCGCCTGTGTATCTTTCTCCCTGGTAGAGCTGCACGTGCCCTGCCTGGGCCCCCAGCTGGGCTGGCGTTGGGGGAGAGATGCCGGCACCTGTTCCCTACATGGTTCAGATGCAGGGAGGGCGTGGTGCTGTCTCCACACCAGCCCCTCTCGGGGTGGCGCATGCCTGGGGGGGGGGGTGCCTGGCTGAGGTTTGCTTAGTGAGGACTCCCAATTGCTCTGACACACACATCCAGATCCTCTAGGGTACCACGGGGTGTGCTCTTTGAACTGGCTGCTGGCCCATAAGGACCCCACTGGCCCACAGGCAGTGGGGGCAGACTGGCTCCTTGTTCATGGGAACCCAGGCCTGGTTACTTCCCTAAGTCGGGCACCCCGATACCTGCGTGGGGAGCGTGCCTCATTGCCATGGCCCTGGTGGTATGACCCAGCCCCAAACGCTGTGTTGGTGGGGCCCAGATGGGCTGTCTGTGAACCCATGGAAGACCAATCCCTTTCATCCACCCACTGTCTTAGCGTTTTCAAAGGGCTTTCACCTCTGAACCCAGGCATCCTCGGAGATGAGTGAGTGAAGCAGGTCCCATGAGTGTCTGCTGGCCCGGCCCCCACGGAAGAGGGGAGGGTGTGCCGTCCCGAGTGGAGCCGAGGCTCGGGGCACACAGGAAAGAACGCCGCCCACCCGGGCTCCTGGAGACGGAGAACTTGGTGTGAGGTCTTGGGAAAACAGTTTGACCCTATGTTTCAAGAGCCAGAAAAACGTTTCCACCCCTTGACCTGGTAACCCCGCTGGTGGGGATTTTATCTTAGCGGGATAAGATAACAGGGAAGTGGGAGGTGAGATGCTCACTGCAGCACTGTTTACGCTAGCTAAACATGGGCCGTGATGGACGTCAGAGTGAGAGGGAGATTAAGCTGTGGTCCTCCAGAATACCCTGCAGCCATCACAGCCGAGGGGAAGGCTGGATAAGAAAGGAGAAGTGCTGGGTTGAGTCAGAGAGCCTGCGCAGGGCAGCGCACCGAGGTCACAGCCGTGGACGTGAGCCAGAGAGTGGATGGGGACGTTGGTGCTGGAGCAGTCGTCCGTTTGCTTTTGTAACACTCTTGACTGAGAAATTTCGGTTTTATTTTTTTACGTAAAAGGGGAGGGGGTTTGTATCACTGTGAAGATGCTTTCCTGACCGTGTCTCCTGCCAAGGGGTCAGAGCCCTCCTCAGGCCCCCCGCCCCGAGCTGCCTGTCACAGCCCTGCGTGCCTGTGGGGGGACCGCATGGCTAGGCTCTGGGGCCAGGGCCCATCCTGTTCTCAGTCAGCGTTTGTTGAGACGGGGAATGAGTGAGCCGCAGGCGGCGAGGGAGGCGTCTGCCCCTACAGCCGTAGCTGCGGGCAGTGCCCCCTTTGGTGGCAAAGCCTCTGCACCAGCCAGGCCCAGGCCTCAGCCCCTTTCCTCGCTGCCCCCGCTCCTGGGGACACGCCACACAGTGGCTCACTGTAGTCTTCCCCTTTCCCGCTACTGGACCTTTAGACGTTGTCTCCAGATCTGCACCTCTTATAAATAAAACTGCAGTGGATGTCTCTGTGTGCACATCTCTTTCCTTTTGGTGAGAAACAACAAAGGTTGGGCCCCGTCTAAGCATTCTAATGTCCCCTGTCCCATTCTCTGAGTGGCCCTTTCTGACCACTTGTTTGTACAGACCACAGTCCAGGAAGGAAGCAGAAAGACTGTCCCTATCCACATTTCCTCAGTTGCAAACAGGGCTTGGGTGGGTAGTGACAGGAAAATGTTCTTTTTCTTGCTAACGTGGAGGAATCCGCAGAAGTTTGTGTTCAGCCACATGCTGTTGGACTTTGCCTGCGTGGGCGAGGATTTCTCCCTAGGTGGGGGAGCAGCTTTGTTCCCAGCCCAGTTCTGTAGCAGTGAATATACTTGTGAATAAACTGGGCCCCCGGGGGCCTGCCTGGATGGGCGCTGTCCAGTAAACACCAGGCCTCTGGTCATCTCAGGAGCTGTTAGCCGGCTTGTTGGAGCCATGGAGGGTTGTGGCCACAGGGACTGATGTGCAAAATGACCGAGTTGATTCTCCAGCCAGGTCCAGGGGCTGAGAGGAGGCCGTAGAGAAGGGGTTAGGAGCAGGCACCTGGGCTGGGGCACCTGAGTGCATCCCAGCTTTCTGGCTGTGGTCCCTCGAGCAACTTGTTGCCTCCCGAGGCTCTGTTTTCTCTACCCTACTTCATCGATTCTAAGATGCACACATTTCCACCTTGTGACTTCTTTGAAATTGAGATGCATCTTTCAGTCAGTGGCGTCTCATAGTTGCTGTCAGCCAGCTGGTATTCGTGATGGAGTTGTGTGAAAACCCGTGGACACCTGCTGAGACCAAGATGGCGCCACATCTACGCATCTTAGATTTGATGAGCTGTGGTAAATAACGGGAGGCGTGCATGAGCTAATCCTGGGGAAACACTTAGCACTGCTTCTGGTCCATCAGAAGGGGTCAGTAGGGGCTTCCTACCTACGTCCTTTTCGGAGGGTTTCAAGATGACCAGGACAGTGCCCCTGAGGAACTTGGAGCCTCTTGGGAAGATGAGCTGTACCCCGAAGGGAGAACAGGGCAGAATGATTTGGGTCATTTGTGGAAGACAGAAGTCTGTCTAGAGCAGAGAGGACTTTGCAGTGGAGTTGTATGTGAGGTGAATGTCAAAGGATGGTAGGACCTGAGCATGTGAGGGAGGAGGGGGTGGATTCCAGGAGAGAGCAGCACGCTTCATGCCTGGCAGTGTGCCTGCTGCCCTTCCTGCCTGTGCACAGCCCCTGCTGCTTTGCCCTGGGGGGTGTCTGGGCTTGGGCCATCTGCCTGCCTAGCCCATGGGCAGAGGACCTGGGCCATTGTGAGTTGTCCTGACCCCAGCTAGCAGCTGAGCTGGACGAGGGCCTGTGACCTCTGGGGCTCTGAGTTCTCTGAGGCATTTTGTTGGGCCGTGGTGACTGGTGGTAAAGCCAGGCTATGGAGGCAAGCCCTGGGCTCCTCCAGGTTTCTGCGAAACTTGGAGTTGATGCCCAGCATTCATCCAATCAGCTGCATTTAGGAGAAAGTTAAAAAAGATTTTACCCTCAACCAGTGTGGAAAATGTCTGGAGTGAAGTAATGGGCCCAGACAAGCTGTAATAATAATACAACAGCATCAGCAGGCTTCAAAAGCAGCCCAAGTGAGTCAGAGCGTGCTGTCCACGGGCGGTGGCCCAGGGGAGGGTCAGTGGGATGTGTCCTGTGGGAAGGTGGGCATCGGTTGTCCTCGCCAGCCCTGGAGGAAACCTGAGCCTGCAAGAACGCCTGGCCTTCCGATGAGGGGTCTTGTGCTCCTGTGTCTGCAAAACTCCACAGGGATGCTGGAGTGGCGGGTGGGGGGACTTGAACCATTTCCCCGTGAAGACGCTCTAGGAGCAAACACGTTTAAGGCTCTTGGTGGACATATTGCCAGACTGCTCTCCAAATGGGTGGGGCAGCTTGCACCCCAGTGCCTGCCTCTGCCAGTTAGGCCAAACAGCCTGACCTTTGCCAAAGTGAGAGGCCAAACTTGCCCTTCTTTGATGGCTCGCGAGGGTGAGCTTTTATCTTGTGTTAAGCCTGTTGGCCGATCTTTTGTGGAATGTCTGTTCATTCTTTGCAGTCTCCTAATGGGATTTCTAATTTTCTCCCCCCATTTTTTGTTATCTGTAAGAGCGTTTTATAGATTAAAGATACAAGCCTTGGACAAATGTTGTGAGCACTTTTTTCTCGTTGCGTTTAGGTTTCTCTTTTTACTTACAGAAGTTTAGCTTTTACGCAGTCACACCTCAATTTCTTCCTTTGGATTTAGGCTCAGAAAATCTCTCCCTACCGTGAGATTACATAAGCAGTCATTTGTTCTTCTAGTTATTTTAAGATTTCAGTTTCAACATTTTCTTCTATAATCCACGTGGCTAGGTTTGGGGTCTGATTAGCCCCCAGCCATGCCAGTTGCCCGAGGGCCCAGCCCCATTTGTTGAATGGCTGCTCTCCCTGCCCCGCCTGCCCCACCCGCCTGCCCCTGGTCTCTCCAGGAATCATGTTTGTGCAAGAAGAGGCCCTGGCCAGCAGCCTGTCATCCACCGACAGTCTGACTCCTGAGGACCGGCCCATTGCGCGGGGATGCTCTGATTCCTTGGAGTCCATCCCTGCGGGACAGGTAACATCCTCCTCCTGCTTCTGGGGGTTGGTTTCCTCTGCGGCCAGCTCTTCTGCCTGAAGCTGTCTGGAAATATGAGGTGGCCTGGCTGGAGTTGTAGCAGATGCTGCCAGTGCTTGGTGTGCTCTGCTTTGTGGTTAAGGGTCTGTTCAGTTAGCGTCTGTCGTCTGTCTCTTTCTTTGGACTGATGGGAATAGGCAGTTTTCTCTTACTGGACCCTGGGGGGCAAAGCCACATAACCCTTAGTGCATGTGAGCAGACTCCCTGGGGAAAGTTCAGAAGGCCCTGGTCAGGGGTGGCTTGTTTGGGCTCCGCACCCATCAGGAAGTTTCTCCCCCTGCTGTCTGGCACCCCTGCGCCATTTTGCCTGTTTCTGCACGTCACCCACCCTGGTAATCTGGGACACGCTGTGACTCTGTTCCTTCTTCCGTGGCTGCTCCTGAGGGTCCCTGAGCTGCTTCCTGTGTCTTGGAAAGAAAGAGGACGGCAGGTGTGGTGCGAGGGGCTCATTTGCTGTGTGCGTGGGGAGTGTGCTTGGTAGCTGGGCCTGCCCAGCCCTGTCTCTCTTCACCAACACAGTGTCACGGCCGTGTGGCACTGGGGCAGTGGGCAGAGTCCTCGCTCTGTCCCAGCACTCCACTGCACTCTCCCTTCACCCTCCCCAGGGTCACAGCAGGAGGCTCCTGAGCCCTAGGTCTTCCCCACTGCCCAGAGACCATTGGGAGGGCCTTGCCAGGCGCTGCACAGCCTCCGCTCACCATGTCCTCTGCTGGCCCGGTACCAAGTTGGTAGATGGTCCACATGGACCCTGTGGGATGGCACAGGGAACATTCAGATGCCAGACCTGGAGGCACAAGCTGAGCTTGCGGAGGGCGAGAGGCTTTGGCCCAGGGGTTGGGAGTGTGGGCTGGGGTCAGACCGACACGGTTGGGAATCTTAGCTCTGCTGTGCACTGGCAGGATGACTGAGTGAGTCTCTCTGCCTCTCTGAGCCCCAAGATCCACCCTAGGGTGGAGTGTGGGGATAGCAAGGAGCCTCCTGCTGGGCCACGAAGGAGTGCTCAGGGCCTGCCGCCCGGTGAACGCCAGGGCATGGCTGCGGCAGGTGGGGGCTGACCGCGTTTCCTTTCCTGGCAGGCACCTTCTGATGATTTAAGAGACGTGCCGGGAGCTGTTGGCGGTGCAAGGTAAGGAAGAGGCTATCATGGAAGGCATTCTGGGCCTTCTGCACATACTCTGTGGGCCAGTAGTAACCAAGATTTTCTTAAAAGTCTGTTTGCAGAAGTCCTATAGAACTATTTCTTCCTTTAAATAAATAAACACAGCTGAAATGGGCTCTGGTCTGTTTCCAAGTTCTAATCCCTAAACTTTGCATTGACACGTTATCCTACGCTAGGGGTCAGCAGGTCAAAGCCAATTTAGTCCACTGCCTGTTTTGTACAGTCTGTGAGCTAAAAATGATTGTTCCGTTCTTAAGGAGCTGTTTTTTTTAAAATAAACGATGTGGGTGGGGTAGCCCCCAAAGCCTCAAGTGTTTACTGTCTTTACAGAAGAGGTTCCCCAACCCATTCTACATACCCTTTTTCACCAGGGCCAGTAGAGGCCAAGAGGCGCTTGAATTTTTTTTAATTTTTATTGGAGTATAGTTGATTTACAATGTTGTGTTAGTTTCAGGTGTACAGCAAAGTGAATCAGTTATGCATATATCCACTCTTTAAGGTCTTTTCCCATATAGATCATTACAGAGTGTTGAGTAGAGTTCCCTGTGCTATACAGTAGGTCCTTATTATCTATTTTATATATAGTAGTATGTACATACGAATCACAATCTCCCATTTTATTCCTCCTCCAATTCCCCCCGGTAATCATAAGCTTGTTTTCTACATCTGTGACTCTATTTCTGTTTTGTAAATAAGTTTATTTGTATCACTTTTTTTAGATTCCACATATAAGCGATATCATGTGATATTTGTTTTTGTCTAACTTCACTTAGTATGACAATTCCTAGGTCCATCCATGTTGCTGCAAATGACATTATTTCATTCTTTTTTATGGTTGAGTAGTATTCCATTGTGTATATGTACCAGATCTTCTTTTTCCATTCACCTGTTGATGGACATTTAGGTTGCTTCCATGTCTTGGCTATTGTAAACAGTGCTGCAGTGAACATTGGGGTGCATGTAGCTTTTCGAATTACGGTTTTCTCCGGATATATGGCCAGGAGTGGGATTGCTGGATCATATGGTAGTTCTATATTTAGTTTTTTAAGGAACCTCTATACCGTTCTCCATAATGGTTGTACCGATTTACATTCCCACCAACAGTGCAAGAGGGTTCCTTTTTCTCCACACCGTCTCCAGCATTTACTGTTTGTAGATTTTTTGATGTTGGCCATTCTGACCGGTGTGAGGTGAAACCTCACTGTAGTTTTGATTGGCATTTCTCTAATAATTAATGATGTTAAGTATCTTTTCGTGTGCTTTTTGGCCATCTGCATGTCTTCTTTGGAGAAATGTCTATTTAGATCTTCCACTCATTTATTGACTGGGATGTTTGTTTTTTTGATATTGAGCTGCATGAACTGTTTGTATATTTTGGAGATTAATCCCTTGTTGGTCGCTTCGTTTGCAAATGCTTTCTTCCATTCTGTGGGTTTTTTCTTTCTTTTTTTTTTTTAACATCTTTATTGGAGTATAATTGCTTTACACTGGTGTGTTAGTTTCTGTAGGTTCTTATTAGTTATCTGTTTTATACATATTAGTGTATATACGTCAGTCTCAATCTCGCAGTTCATCCCACCACCACCACCACCCCCCGTTGCTTTCCCCCCTTGGTGTCCATACGTTTGTTCTCTACATCTGTGTCTCTATTTCTGCCCTGCAGACCGGTTCATCTGTACCATCTTTCTAGGTCCCACATATATGTATTAATATATGATATTTGTTTTTCTCTTTCTGACTTCACCCTGTAGGACAGTCTCTAGATCCATCTACGTCTCTACAAATGACCCAATTTCATCCTTTTTTTGTGGCTGAGTAATTCTCCATTTTATATATGTGCCACATCTTCTTTATCCATTTGTCTATCTATGGGCATTTAGGTTGCTTTCATGACGTGGCTATTGTAAATAGTGCTGCAGTGAACATTGGGGTGCCTGTGTCTTTTTGAATTATGGTTTTCTCTGGGTATATGCCCAATAGTGGGATTGCTGGGTTATACGGTAATTCTATTTTTAGTTTTTTAAGGAACCTCCATACTGTTCTGCATAGTGGCTGTATCAATTTACATTCCCACCAACAGTGCAAGAGGGTTCCCTTTTCTCCACATGTGGGTTGTCTTTTCATTTTGTTTATGGTTTCCTTTGCTGTGCAAAACCTTTTAAGTTAAATTAGGTCCCATTTGTTTATTTTTGTTTTTATTTTCATTACTCTAGGAGGTGGATCAAAAAAGATGTTGCTGTGATTTATGTCAGCGATATATGTATATACGTATACATATATTTATATACATATGGAATATGTATATATACAATGTATACATATGTATATTTATATACATACATACATATACAATATGTGTATATATATACATATATTTTAGTTTGCTTGTTTTTTTTAATTGAAGTATAGTTGATGTATAATATTATATGTTACAGGTATACAATATAGTGATTCAATTTTTAAAGGTTATAATCCAGTTATAGTTATTATAAAATATTGACTGTATTCCCTGTGTTGTACAATATATCCTTGTACCGTTTTTTATACATAATAGCTCATACTTCTTAATCCTGTACCCCTATCTGGCCCATCCTTCCTTCCCTCTCCCCATTGATAAACACTAGTTCTCTATATCTGTTTTGTTATAGTCACCAGTTTGTTTTATTTTTTAGATTCCACATAAAAGTGATATCATACAGTATTTATCTGTTTGACTCATTTCACTTATCGTAATACCCTCCAAGTCCATCCATGTTGTTTCAAATGGCAAAATTTCATTATTTTTATGGCTGAGTGGTATTCCATTGTACATATGTACCACATCTTCTTTATCCAGTCATCTGTTGATGGACACTTAGGTTGCTTCCATATCTTGGCAATTGTAAATAATGCTGCTATGAACATTGGGGCACATCTATCTTTTTGAATTAGTGTTTTGGTTTTTTGGGGGTATATACCCAGGAATGGAATTGCTGGGTCATATGGTAGTTCTATTTTTTTTTTTTTTTTTTTTTTTGGCGGTACGCGGGCCTCTCACTGTTGTGGCCTCTCCCGTTGCGGAGCACAGGCTCTGGACGCGCAGGCTCAGTGGCCATGGCTCACAGGCCCAGCTGCTCCGCGGCACATGGGACCTTCCCAGACCGGGGCACGAACCCATGTCCTCTGCATCGGCAGGCGGACTCTCAACCACTGCGCCACCGGGGAAGCCCTATTTTTAGTTTTTTGAGAAACCTCCATACTGTTTTCCACAGTGGCTGCACTAAGTTATATTTCCACCAACAGTATATAAGAATTCCCTTTTCCCCACATCCTTGCCAACATTATTTGCATTCTTTTTGATGATAGCCATTCTGACACGTGTGAGGTGATAGCTCATTGTGGTTTTGGTGTGCATTTCCCTGATGATTAGTGATGTTCAGCATCTTTTCATGTGCCTGTTGAGTGCTGTCTATATTTTCCTCTAAGAGTTGTATAGTATTCGGCCTTACATTTAGGTCTTTAATCCATTTTGAGTTTATTTTTGTGTATGGTGTTAGGGAGGGTTCTAATTTCACTCTTTCACATGTAGCTGTCCAGTTTTCCCAGCACCACTTATTGAAGAGACTGTCTTCTCTCCATTGTATATTCTTGTCTCCTTTGTCATAGATTAGTTGACCACAGATGTGTGGGTTTATCTCTGGGCTTTCTCTCCTGTTCCATTGATCTATATTTCTGTTTTTAATGCCAGTACCAAACTGTTTTGATTACTGTAGCTTTGTAGTATAGTCTGAAGTCAGGGAGGCTGATGCCTCCAGCTCCGTTTTTCTTTCTCAAAATTGCTTTGGCTATTCAAAGCAATTTGTCTTTTGTGTTTCCATACAAATTGTAAAATTTTTTGTTGTAATTCTGTGAAAAATGCCATTAGTAATTTGATAGGGATCACATTGAATCTGTAGATTGCTTTGGGTCATTTTGACAATATTGATTGTCATTTTGACAATATTGATTCTTCCAATCCAAGAACATAGTACATCTCTCCATCTGTTTGTGTCATCTTTGATTTCTTTCATCAGCATCGTATGGTTTTCTGAGTACAGGTCTTTTGCCTCCTTAGGTAGGTTTATTCCTAGGTATTTTATTCTTTTTGTTGCAATGGTAAATGAGAGTGTTCCCTTAATTTCTCTTTCTGATCTTTTGTTGTTAGTGTATAGGAATGCAAGAGATTTCTGTGTATTAATTTTGTATCCTGCAAATTCACTGATGAGCTCTAGTAGTTTTCTGGTAGTGTCTTTAGGATTCTCTGTGTATAGTATAATGTCATTTGCAAACAGTGACAGTTTTACTTCTTCTTTTCCAATTCGGATTCCTTTTATTTCTTCTCTGATGCCGTGGCTAGAAATTCCAAAACTGTGTTGAATAAAAGTGGCAAGAGTGGACATCCTTGTCATGTTCCTGATCTTAGAGGAAATGCTTTCAGTTTTTCACCATTGAGAATGATATTGGCTGTGGGTTTGTCTTATATGGCCTTTATTATGTTGAGGTAGGTTCCCTCTGTGCCCGCTCTCTAGAGAGTTTTTATCATAAATGGGTGTTGGATTTTGTCAAAAGCTTTTTCTGCATCTATTGAGATGATCATATAATTTCTTTCTTCAGTTTGTTAATGTGGTGTATCACATCGACTGATTTGCATATATTGAAGAATCCTTTCATCCTGGGATAAATCCCACTTGATCATGGTGTATGATCCTTTTAAGGTGTTGTTGGATTCTGTTTGCTAGTATATTTTTTTTAACATCTTTATTAGCGTATAATTGCTTTACAGTGGTGTGGTAGTTTCTGCTTTATAACAAAGTGAATCTGCTATACATATATCCCTATATCTCCTCCCTCTTGTGTCTCCCTCCCACTCTCCCTATCCCACCCCTCTAGGTGGTCACAAAGCACCGAGCTAATCTCCCTGTGCTATGCAGCTGCTTCCCACTAGCTAT